TCACGGCCGGAGCTCTTTCTGCAAGGTGCTTCTTGTAAGGTTCGTACCCATGGGTTCTTCCTGCCATGTTCTTGGTATACTTAGGGCTTGTTTCGGCTTCTTACCACAGGGCCTTTATTGCAGGATTCGCAGGTTGTGACTATCAGATTATGCTTATAAGTTCTCAGGTTCTAAGGTTCTTCTAGCGTTCTTGCAGATTTTCTAGGGTTTTCGAACTGACATCATACAGGGTTTAGGCTTCTCAATGGGCACTCGTGGGTCCTTGGATTGAAGAAGGCTTCAGGGCGCCGACGTCTGTGCCCTCATCTGATGATGGAAGCTAAGGAAGCCGGAAGCAAAGACCCCAAAATAGAACCACAAAGCGAGAAAAATTGGAGCTCAAAAATCACTAGAGCCAGCTGACCTGCAGCATCCAGCTGACATGCAACATGAAAGTAGCAGGTTGAAACCTAGTTTCTGCTGCTCTTGTCTTGCAGCAATGTACTGCGCTGCATGATGATCGGTTCCAGGCTGTGTCAGACGTACCCAATAGCAATATGCTTTAGGTGAAACACACGGATGTGCTCCGTCAATCACATTGCGAGGTGATGCTAGTCGAAGTTTGCATCCCTGAGCTCTATACCCTCTATACCCCCTAGGAGTTTAGGGTTAACCTAGTGTTTAGGGTTCAGGCTCGGAGAGCGGTTGGACATTGCAGCCCATGTGTTCAAGCTCGTGGGCCAAAGGGGTTTTAGCGCGAGAGGCTTGCAGATGTACAGGACGCTTCACTCGGGCGTTTACCATGATTTGTTTGCTCTTTTATCTCTCGCTAAACCCTACGCTTCTAAACCCTTTTCCACAGGCTTGAACTGAGCTCGCCCGGCCAAGTCCCTCGCAGCACATGCTTCTAAACCCTTTTTTGCAGCCGGCCTCGTTGTCCAGCAGCCCGGTCCGAGCGAATAACCCTAGACCCTGCACTGCCACCCAAGGCCATGGCGGCAGAGCGGTGATCTGACCAGCCCCGTCCTGACATGCATAAGGGGTGCAAAATGTATTCGGCTGAGCAGGGGCATCTTTCCAGTTCTTAAAGGATTCCAAAAAGAGCGCTTTAGGCTCCGATCTTCTATTCGGGGTTCGCTAAGGTGGGACTTGTGTCCAGGAGGGCGTGGGCGTGTTCGTTTCTCCGAGGCTGCCACAAAAATTCTGAGATCCTTTCATGCAGTCCATGCTCATCGAGGCCACACCACAAAGCCCTGCACAATATCGCCACCACCAGCACCATCCCCACCACAATCGCCACATCAGTCAGAAACAGCTAGCGATGACGATGATGACGACGACATCCCCTTCTCCCGGCGCATGTCTCCCCGGGCGGCCTGGCCGTTGTTCATCCAGCAACATGAACACAGCAACGGATTTCAGAACTGCGAACAACACAGCAACGAAACCCGAAGCCGAAACCAGCCCAGCAACACAATCTCCAAGCCTTGGACTCTCAACTCCGAAACTCCGTGAGTCGTTAGAGCCTGAGGCCTTCAACCCAAAGCTTTAGAACCCTTAAACTCTTAAGCCCCCAAACAGCCTCGCACATTCTCTAAAACCCCATAAAAAAAACCTTCTGAAGCCTATGCCCTATAAAAACCTTCAAAACTGAAACGTTGTTGAACCTTCTAAAGCCTAAGGCAGGCGGTACATCGGAGATCGAGGCGACCAGAAGATACAAGGGCATGAATACATAGAGTGGTGCTTTATAAGGGCTTATGTTCTAAGAAGGGTTTTCATAATTCGAACACGGTTTTTATGGACGATTGTTATGAAAAAATTTATCAGGTTTTGATAGTTTGAATGCTTGTTGCTTCATAGGTTTTTATCCGGATTCTATATAAGGGCTTCAGAGGCGTCGTGAAGGGTGCCCAAGCACCGGGCCTTCGACGACGCGAGTGCTCTGGGACTGCCAGCTTTGGCTCGAGCCTGCTTACGGGTTCAAGGACTTCTCAGGGCTTTTGGGGGTTTCAAATTTTTTTGCTAGGTTTTTTTGAGTTAGGGCTTCGGGCTTAGGAATTGGGGGTTTAAGGTTTTTAGGGCCTGAGCGGCTTTAGAGGGTTTGGGGTGTAGGAACTTAAGACTTTTAAAGACTTTGGCGACTTTAGGCCTTGGGGTTTAAGAACTCCGGGTTTAGAGCATTATGAGCTTTTGGTGGCTTGCAAAGCCTTCAAAGCTTAAGTAGGGCTGACCGAAGGCAGGAAGAGGTTTAGAAGACTTTTTAGGGCTGTTTGCTGGCTTTTGAAGCCTGGGGCTGGCGGATTCCAGCGTGTGGGGCTAAGGGCTGTTTGGGACTTAAGGATCTCAGGGTTTAGGGCTTGGGGCATTTGGGGTTTAGGCTTTGGAGCTCTTTTGCAGTTTAAGGCCTCTCAGGGTGCAGGATTTGGCGGTCGGGCTGAAGGCACTGAGGCCCCCCGCTGCCCCATGAAGCTTTGGTAGCGCCATAGCCCCAGTCCTGGCTTTTGCCTGCGGAGCTTTGCCGTCATCGCTACTTGTTCTGCTGCTCTCACAAGCGGTCGTTAGTCTTCGGCATGTTCCCACAATCCGTTGTCGATGCATGTGTTGTTTCTTCTCGGCAGACCTGAGATGATAACAGGAAACCTGTCAATCCGTGTGGTTTTGCAACAAGAAGAGAGGAACGGAGAGATACAGAGAGAGACACAGAGAGAGAGAGAGAGTGCTACGCTGAAAACACTTGATGCGAGAATTGGGGGAAAGGATGTCGCACAACGCATTCCGAGAGTCGGAATGCGCCCTGCAATCATCCAAAGTCAGTGCAATGCAACGTCTCGCAAGCATCTCAACATAAACTTCTCAGTTTTTTGGCGTGCGTTGAAAGAGAGTGGACAGCATGCTGCACAGTCCAGTGTAACTTATCATACACCGTGGAAAAACAATGGAAAACAAAAGAACGCATCTGAGCAATGATAAAGGAAGAATGGCAGACATACAGTAAGACCCTACCTTCAGCAGGAGTGCCAAGTACTAGTAGAACGGAACAGAACTTGGCATACTGCACTCCGCAACCCTGAGATCTTGGCTGGACTTTGGTGCTTTCCAGTCGTCATCCCACTTTCCTGAACCTCAGCCACATCCGTTGAGTAATATTCATAAGGTGGACATTTAAAGCCCTCAATAGTAGGCCTGTTATAGACTCTTACTGTATGGGGGGCATTACCCAAAGACTAGAGATATAATAGCTTCTTACCACCAGGGAGCTGCAGGTTTAGGCATACAAATAGATAACCCTAAACCCTACCATGGGATAAGAACTTCTTGTTGTTAGTATCTACAGGGTTCGGGCTTTGGAGCTTACAGAAGGCTTTGGGTGAGTTCCGGCTCTGGGGTAGGGTTTAGAGTTTAAGGTTTAAGGCTTAGGCTTTAGGGCTTACAAGGTTTACAGTCTCACAACTCGGCCAAAGGATTTTAGGGCTTAGAGTTTTAGGGGTGCTGCGGACGCTTTCTGAAACTCCGGTTTTGGGGTTTTTGACTCCGTCGGACATGCGGGCAAGGAGTTACCTGCGGGTTTGGGCGCGCTGAGCGCTGCGGAGCTCTTGTGCATCAGGCTCAGCTTCGTGCCCGCGCCGCCAGACCAATCTTGCTTGCCTCAGAAGGCGCCATGCAAGAGAGGGCTTAGGGTTTGGGGTTTAGGGTTTAGGGTTTAGGGTGTCTGAGCCCTTCTCCTGCTACCAGGCATTGCTACGAGGCACCTTTGGATTCCGCAACAGTCAAGACAACTGTCCAAGTGATCTTCTGAGAAAGGAGTCCATGCAACGATACAAGCGCAATGGAATGTGGCACAAGACTGTATGCTTCACCAAGCATAAACTAGGAGGAAGAACAAGGGACAAGGGAAGAAGACGACGAAGAAATGCAGATTGCATAAGCCGCTTCCCAACGTGAATTCGGACTTGGAACTTGGAACAGCTTGAATCTATTGGTCAAAACATGGACCCCTAATCCTAATACCCGAATGTAACCCTTATATACCCCTTATATAGTCTCATAAAGCCCCTATATAACCCCAAGGGTCCCTGTAAGTGCCTTGGCTTTGACTGCTCCAATCGGTTTTCCAACCATCCGCCTCGCCAGTCTTCCACAGCTACGGATTCGGAGGGGGGCTTACGGTTTAGGGTTTAGGGTTTAGAAAGCTCAGGAGTTGCTGAAGACTTGAACCTTCAGAACGAAAATCCCTTGAAGGATGGAATTGAAGCCTCGGAATACCTGGGTTCGGTGCACGATACATGTCTTCGGTCCTAACTGTCCTTTGACTCCAGAATCTCGAGTTTAGACTTCTGCTTGGGAGGCTTACGTAGTCGAGAGCGCGAGCGCGCTGTGGACCGGCGTGCTCTGATGCTCGGCGCTACATTCACGGGTTTAGGATCTAGGGTGTTTTTTAAAGTGCAGTGGGACTTTCTCCGCATGAGATGCAGGGCTTGGGGTTCAGGGAAGGCAAAGATACAGTAATCGGGATAGAGTCAGGACGCACAGTGCACATTGGCTAAGACCACATTCATTCAGTTCCGCTCGTAAATTTGCTGAATTGTTGGGTGGCATTCGTGCTCCCGCCACTTCCACAATTGTTTTTTGGTTTCTCAACCCCTCATTTTGGCCTTCAATTTCGCACGAAGTTGCTAAAGTACTACATGTAGCAGGGCCACACTATGAGGTTTTACCGGCTTCCTCGGCGTTCTCTCGAAGGGATTTGGCAAAAATCGCAATGGCATTTCCTTCCGCAGTGCTTTTCGCATTTGGGTGCGCATTGTCACGCGACTTTTGTTCTCGCCACAGTGCTGTGCGTGTTCTCGGGTGTCAATCACACTCCCGCCGCACGGTGGTACATCTGGTACACTCCTGGGTTGGTCCTCGAAAGCCTCAGGGGTGATCCTGGAATCGTTCTTGGGTATGTAGGGCTTCGTCTACAGGGTGCTTACTCCATTTGCGGGTAGCTGTTACTATTTATGTAGCCCACGGCTGGCCTTCTTCCAATCGTTCTTCTTCCAGGTGTCCGGCTCCTTCCAAGTCTCCTCTTGCTTCCACTTGGCTCCACCACCTGAACTGTTTACGGTATCGGTTTTAAGGGTCTGTGGTTGGGACTTAGGATGTAAGAGCTCAGGGTATAGGCATGATGCTAGGGCCTCACCATTGTTGCTGAGTTTGTATTAATCTCGCTTTTACCTGCCATCCTCCAGCTGTTGTGCCGGGTCAGTCCTCAGCTCCTTGTGGAGATCTGAAGCATGAGTCATAAGATGATCCCTTAATCATGCCTGTAATGTATACCTCTAGTACACCATCACGACCCGTTAAGGCCCTTATATGAAGCCATAGATGACCGCATTCCTGCGTCCCTAGCCCGGGCCAGTTCTGAAGAGCAGGGGGCCTCAAAGTCACGATGGGGCTTTGCAGCCGGGGATTTGGGGCAGCGACCGTAAATTTTCAACGCATGAGCAGCTTTGCTTTAAACTCGGGACTCGCATCCCAAACCGAACCTCATGCCTCTGAGCTGCAAAGCAAGTTTCCCAAGGCGATACCTTCCGCCCTAAACCACAGCCCTCAGCTCCCGAAGTACTGTAAAGCCCCAACACTCCAACCCTAAGCCACAAAACTGGAAGTAGTCAATGCTTGACCGGCTTGACCTGCTGGCTTCCATTTGTCCGTATCTTTCCAAGAATCCTTCCAGGAGCTGCCTCGCGTCGCAACTAAACTGCGCAGAAGAACCACGGCGAGACCACAGGTGCTGGTCTAATGACAACGACAAACGATGACACTCCTTCTGTCCAGTGCCATGGTGAGCCTATCACAACTGTCATAACTGCCATCTTTGGCACTGCAAGCATTGCCATACCTATTCTTATCCCTACGCATGTCCGTGCTAAGACTCGTCCTGCTGCGTGTACATGACCTGGGCTGCTGTTCCCCCGCGGCCATGCTGACGGCTGTTCTCTAGTATGCAGAGGCAGCGGAAGTAGTGGCAGTGCAGCCGCAGCAGCAACAACATTAAGAGAGGCAGTGTTGACAATGATAACTACTAGCGCGATGTGTGCATCGCAACCATGAGAGGAACGTGTGCACGAGGAAAACTTCAAGCAGCTATGTGAAGAAGAGAATACCACCACCGCTCTGCAAATTGAGTTGTAGTGTCCATGAGATTGGCTAAGATTTGTGCAAATTGCACAGTCATGAGGAACTGCAATGCTTCAACCAAGTTCTCCTGACCATCTAACAATACTAGGTACAATCCCTTTTCTTCTCTTGCATGTGGCCAAGGCGGCAGACATCCTCTGAACCCTGACAGCCGAACTCGGGGAGCAGAGCCCAAAATCCAAAAAACGCACCTGCGTTCTTGGGCTTCTCGTAGCTCCAATCTGATGCATCCCAGGACTTTCCTGCCAGGCAATTAGGGGCAGGCTGAGGTTGAAGGCTGTGACACTCCAACCGTGCGCAGCTTGAGGACTTCAATACCTACAAACCTGCGCACAAAGGGAAGGGGAACCTTCACTCTGCCACCTGGCCTTTCGGCGCACGCTCCGGCTGCCAACTGTTGTCCCAAGACTCGTCCTTCTTGCCTTTGCCTCTGCCCTGCGACACCCATGCAGTGACGTTTGGATGAGTTCAGGTGGACACCTTGACATATGCATACCGTATACATGTTCAGACATGTGCACGTCACACATAATGAATGCAGACCACCGCTTGTAGGCACATGTATGTACGCAAGTTTCGCCTCGGGTTGGGAGGAAGTCTTAGCACTTGGCTAAAACTGCAGCCTCAGCACTTCAACAGAACATGCCTACGCTCGGCACACCCGAAGGGAGGATCCCGATGACGGAACCTTTGCTGGCACATACTCCTTCTCAATGAGTTCGTCCAGGCTCATGTCCTCAATGCAGTAGCACAACACGGCCGACGACGAAGCCGACCAGACGACGACCAGCCGACGAAGAAGCCCAACAGTGTCAGTCGTCCTAACAAAATGGGCCCCCTTTTCGTTGCGGAGGGTCCAGATTGATCTCTTCCTCCTTCTCTGCCTTCGACTCCTGGGCTGCCTCCTGCTTTTTTCCTGCCAAGCTGGGGGGGCAGAAGGAGCTGGGGGGCGGAGGGGTCTAAAACTTCGCACACTTCGCGCTTTTCGCCCCGCCTTTGCCCCTTCCATCACCCTTTGAGGTTTTGATGACCTGCAACCGGACAGCTGCGGGGCCCAGCAGGCTTTAACATGAAGCCAAAGTAGGAAAGGGTGGCCTCTTCAAGCGAAAGGTCCAAGCCAGCCGGAGCCATCGCTCCCTCCGAACAAGGGCTCCTGCAGCCCCTTTTGCGCACGCTTGGATCCTTGGAGCCTAAAACTGGATCCTTGGAGCCCAGACGCCATGGGATCATGGTCACTTTCTTTAACAAAGGTCGCGGCGAGCATGGAAGTAGCATTGAGGGTGAAACGCAGACGAAGGATGGCAACGATTACGACAAGAAGGCAAAATAAAATAATCGATGAAGAAACCTGGGAAAACCACAGAACAGCAGCGAAACGACGACACGGGGGAAAGACAACCACGTTACAATAGATGGCATGGCAATACTAATACGTACTTGCTGAATGATAAGTTTCGAACATTGCCGGTTCACTGGGTTGTCCAGGATAGGGGCAATGCTTGATCATCTGCCCAAAACCTCAAGTGAAGACATCTACATTCCGAAAACACGTCAGAGAATGTATACAAAGGCATTTACCAACTGGCATTTGCATATACAGCTGCACGATTCCAAACTGGCATTGCTGCCTTCCATGTTACTGGCTTCTGCTACTTATGGGAACCTAAACCCCCAAACCCCAAACCCACTAAACCCTCAACCCTAAACCCTAAACCTGCAACCCTCAACCCCAAGCCCTAAAAACCCCTAAGAAGGAATCCCATATGTAGTCTAAACCCTAAACCCTAAACCCCACTCCAAGTCAGAAAGGCGGCCTCTTTGGCCTGGGTCTCTTCGGCGTCCGATTTCCGGCCCAGGGCCAACTCCATTCCTGTAGGGCTTGGGGGCTTTGAAGGGTTTTGAGGGCTTAGGAGTTTGAGGGTTTAGGGGCTTTGAGGGTGTAGGAGTTTGAGGGTTTAGGAGCTTTGAGGGTTTAGGAGTTTGAAGGGAGTTTGAGGGTTTAGGGCTTTGAG